AAAACGACACAAGACAATGGCCATGATAAAGATACTCGTACAGATCGCGATGTGACTGGCCTCCAAAAGTGCTGCAAAAGACTTGAAGTATTTTTCAAAACAAGATTGTGAAAAAAAGCTGAGCGCTCGAGTGCGGCGAACACGGCCAAACGCCATGTTTTCCTTGGTAACATGACGTCAGCCACATTATCACCATGGCGAGTTGCAGCGCTGATCTTGAAGTACAGCGGCACCAGAAAAGTGTCCTTATTCTACCTGAGCATGTGGGACAGGAGTGATATTGGTCTATAGTTGGATGGGACTGACTTATCTCCACGCTTGTAGATAGGCCGCTCATTTGCTAGTTTGTAAGTCGATGGAAAATCGCCAGACGTATTAAGAGACATGGTAAATAGTTTGGCTAAAGATGGGGCGATCTCATCTTTGATGACCTTGTAGGCCTGGGCGGGGATCATTTATCAGGTCCTGTGGCTTTACGACTGTTCATTCTCTGGATATGGAGTTGGACTTGTGGAACAGTGACTGGTGTGAACTGTGTCAGGGAGTATTCCGATACAGGGCCATTGGGAGTGCGTAGTGTACTACCAGAAAGTGATGTATCGTTGACAACGTCTGTAAATGTCTTTATGATGTTGGCTACTTCGGCAGCAGGTTCCTGGTTGATTTTAATTCTACCCAGTAGATTGTTCATGACACTCCATTGCTCTCTTGGGTGGTTTCGATGATTGAGTAGTTGTTGCTGGAAGTATGTAGCCCCTTTCTTCCTAGTTAAAAGGTTACATTGTCTTCGTAGAGTTCGGAACTGTTGCAGCAGGTCTGAGTGATCAGGACGTTTTATCATTGCACGGTGTACTCGTTTACGCTTGAATAAAATCTGCCGGAGCTCATGATCTACCCAAGGCGATGGAGTATAGCTCTTCTTGGCGTTAACAGTCTTTAGTGGGCAGTACTCATTCAAGGCATCACTGACAGCATCCTGCCAGTGTTCAGTGTTACTATCTGGAGACATCTGTGAAGAACTGCGTGTGATCTGCTGGTGGAGAGTAGACATATGTTTAGCAGCTGTCTCTTGGAATTGCTTGATCTTCAACGTACGCAGTGGTGGCTTTCGTACTTGTACCTGTCTGTTTGTCTTGAGCGTGCTGGTAGAAGCATGGATAGTGTAGTTCACACGAACAAGTTGGTGATCGGAAATATCACATGGAATAACATTGCAGTCTTTGTAAATCAGTTCATCCCTGCCTGGTCTTGCAGTGGACGTGGTTGAGGAAGAGCTTGAGATCAGTGCTAACGTTAGGTCTATGGTTGCTGCACTGGGGAATCTAGTTGGTGACGTGACAACATTTCGGAGATCACAATCATGGCAGAATGTTCGTAGGTGAGGGTAGTGTGCGTGACCAGGGTCTTGGACATTGACATTGAAATCGCCTAGAATTATGCACGCGGAGGAGGCCGGTGTACAATCCAGTATGTCATCAGTTAGGCTAGATAAGCTTTGCCAAAATGCTACAGGTACTGTTGGAGCTCTATATGCACAGAGGATAGTGAGAGGCTGGGGGTGAATGTTCACGTGTACTGCAAGGGCTTCAATGGGAGAGGAGTGATGTAGTGCTCGATTACCAAAGCCTTCTCTTACGTATATACTGACACCACCTCCTCTCTTTGAGTTCCTATCAAGTCTATGCATGGTATATCCAGGTACTGTACTACATATGTCAGGTACACTGTAGGCTAGCCACGTTTCCGAATCACATTTTCACCAGTTGTAGTCTTCGGGGTACTGAGTCGAATGGTCTTGGTACGCGGAAGCTGAGACACTCCCTTCCTCCTTTATTCCCAATCGAACTCGCGCACTTCCACCGAAACTGGGTGACTGCGCCCTACTAGATGGGGATTTATATGCAAAAATGTAACTAAAAGCGCCATGTCGTTCTTATAAAAGCACGAATGACCGCGATTGGCCCATATGTTGTAGTCTTTTGGACGCTGAGTCAACTGGTTTTGGTCCGAAAAGGCTGCGGTGCAGCGTTCCTCCTGTATTCCCAATCGAACATGGTTGAACAAGCAGTCACGTGCTCCTGCGTACACTAGTCACCTGGTCACCATGCCTGCAGGGTACTACTTACTAGCCTGTTTGACCTTTTTTGAGCAGTCCTGTCACTCGAGTAGAACTCGAGTTGAACCTTGGTGTGAAAGTTGTCGCCTGCTGGCGCGGTGACCAGGTGATTTGGGCAGTGGGCACCCAGGAGCACATGACCGCTTGTTCAACCATGTTCGATTGGAATATAGGAGGAACGCTGCATCGCAGCCCTTTCGGACCAAACCCAGTCGACTCAGCGTCCAAAAGACTACAACATATGGGCCAATCGCGGTCATCCGTGCTTTTATAAGAACGACATGGCGCTTTTAGTGAGATTTTGCATACAAATCCCCATCTAGTAGGGCGCAGTGACCCAGTTTCGGTGGAAGTGCGCGAGTTCGATTGGGAAAAAAGAAGGAAGGGAGCGTCTCAGCTTTCTCGGACGAAGACCATTCGACTCAGCACCCTGAAGACTACAACTGGTGAAAATTTGATTTTAGGGTATACTTCCCCTTTAATTTCATGTATACAGGCTACATACATTAAGGCGAGCGATACTTAGCTTTCGTGCTGACGTTTGAGGGGATACCCTGGCAGTATCCCCGGGTGACTGTGTTGAGGAGACGGGTGATGTCGTCTGATGATAGCGGTGCACCATTATTGATAATTTTGTCACGGGGGAGGTGGCATCGTACACCCTTGTCGCGAGGAGCCCGAAACTTCTGGACTAAGTCCTTCCGTCATCGTTGTTCTTGTCGGGTTAGGTCGTGTTGGATGTAGACGCTGTCTCCTTTGTATTGTGCCGTTGTTTTGTGGCGTAGAAGTAAATTCTTCCCCTGTGGGGACACCACCACTCGCACAAGACCATGCGCCGGTTTTGCCCCAGCACGTGAGCCAGGTGTATCATCCCGTGGCCGTGATGACTGGCTGGGGCCAAGCCGGGCTGCAGATGTGATGTCCTCTGGAGCGAGTTGCGGGGCGAGGGTGCCGATTATGGCAGACAGGTTCTCCGATGGGAGCTCTTGTTGGCCGCGAAGGATTACATTGTTTACTCTGATCTGTTCTGCTGCTCACTGGCCTCCGCGAAAAGGTCACGCAGTGTGTCCTCTGACGGTCCGTATTTGGAGCTTGCAGCAGAATTTAAACTGGCGGCAGGATGCCGGCAAATGTTTTCTTCATCTCGACAATGGCGAACTTGGCACCATTGTCCGCCTTGCCAACATCGTCATTACATTTCTCTACTGCAGCCTTCAACCTACGGTTCTCTGCTGACAAACGGTTGATATCTTGGCGCTGATCGTCAAGCCTCTTTTCCAGGCTGCCCAGTCGTGGTCCCAGGGTCTCTTCGACGCTGTTCTTGAACTCTGATCGAAATTGCCCTTGAAACGTCTCGAAGAGGTCCTTGATCTGCCTTACAGCATGGCTGTCGTCAGGACCTTCTGACACTCCGGCGCACTGGGCTTGACGATCTGGTGTCAGGCTGTACTGCGGTTTACGAGCTGTCTTCTCAGCTCCAGCTCGTCGGCTTTGGGACGGGTTGTCAATTTCGCTTGGGGCGAGACTCTCCGTTGGGCTCTCAGCTCTACGCTTATGAGCGCCTGGGGCAGGGGGAGATGGTTCCCTGGAGACATCACTACTGCATAAACTGCGTGAAGAGCCACCCTTTTCTCGGCCAGCGTTACTGGGGTAGGTTATCTTCCGGACAAACCTTTTCATTGCACACTCTTCACTCAATCGCCATAATAAATTAGAATCCAGTACAAAACTACTAGCGTTAGTGCACTACCAAGCGCACATACCCCCATCCCCCGGGGGAGTAGGTACAATTGACACTACTCACAGCCTTGAAAGGCCCAAACTACACTGAGTTGCCCCAGCACGTACAGCATCATCGGCACAGCGAGTAGGGGGACCTCACATCAAAACAGCACCAACTTGGAAAAAGAACGCCGCAAACTAAGAAAGTCGAAAACACCTGTGGCCAAGTCCATAGTGCCACAGCTTGCACGTGAATGCACATCACTTGCACGAAGGCTGTTTCTGCAAGTGATGTGTTTTTTGAGAAATGTGCGCTGAACACATCCCGACCGAGTGGAGTCAACCGCGGCCGTTGACTCTTCCAGTGCCTTGACACTAGGGCTAGGGAGGTTCTGCTATATGTGCAACGTATAGACCTTATTCGATAAACGTCACAGTCACGTGAACCGGGGTCCCGGGATCCAGGGAGTGGCAAGAGATCTGCGCTCAGTGCACAGTGGACTCTGTGTGCGAACATAGGAGTAGATAAATACCGGTATTTTACTACTCTTTTGTACAAACTGGGCCTTTCTTGCCACTCGTTTCTCGTACGCGTGCCCTAGCTTATGACAAATCCCTGGAGGCGAGTCCAAAAGTCACGTTATCGAATAAGGTCTATACAGAAATCACGTAGAGAGCAGGTGTCTGGGTTAGAGTCTACGGCTTCGCGTGTTTTGGGTCCAGACTCCAGATTTCTACGCACAGATAAGGTTCTCTACATGGTTGTGGCACACGCAAATAAAATGCGTACAGATTTGCTGGATATCATTCGAGTGCAGGCAGAAAACTGCCAAATATGGAAGGGAAAAATTCCCAGTACACATTCCACGTGACTTTTCTACGTGAACGTAGAGCAGAACAGGATTTCTTTACATGGACACCTCTGTCGTGAGGGTGGTGGCTGAAGCGGCTATCCGGTCCTGAGGCAGTTGTGTTCGGTATCGAAGGCCGGTTTTTGACATGACTGTACTAAGTACATCGTAGTTGTACATTTGGAAGTACAATTGTTATTATTTACATTGGACTGTATTTACAGCCATTTTATGACATTACACTGTATTTACAGCCATTTTATGACATAATAATAATAATGAGCCACCCCTTTACCTTTGGCGACCCTTACCTTTGGTGACTACCGAGACGGTGGTCCCCCTGGTGCTTGGATCCACGGTGCTGACTGTATCTGGACAGAGAGGGAGATCATCGACAAACCAAAATGAAACCAATATCCTTACCCATAGACCCAGAAGAAGCACAGCTAACTATTCACTTGAAATTTATGTACGGAATGGACTTGGCCCACACAAAATGGACAGTGGAAATGGGTGTGTAATAGCAGAGAACCCAGCAACGGTGACGCGGAGCAGCGGTGAAATGACTTGTGATGCTGGTGGAGATGATGGCGCCATGTTGGATGTCGATGCGGAGTGCAGTGAGACTGAGCATCAGACGGATGATGCGGAAGTGACTGATGATGATGATTATGATGAAAAATCAATACGCCAATCGGGTTGTGAACGTTGAGCGTGGCTCATTCACCCCACTGATGTTTTCTACATATGGATTCAGTAGACCTGAGACCAATCAGTTCTTGAAGTCTTTGGCCTCCCTTTCGGTAGAGCGCCATAATGATCTCAAATACCCCATTGTCATGGGTATGCTGCGTACCCGATTATCATTTTGACTTTTGCGGTGGGCAATTACTTGCTTCCGTAGATGCCGTGGGCCCGTGGCTCGTATAACAAAAGACGCTTGAATTCATTTGTTGCTCAGTGACGTCAGGCTCGTTAGTGCATTGCACTTGACCTGAGCAGAATATCACATGTCACTTCAATACGTACATGTATGTGGGATTAATATCTTACATTAGACAATATATTTTTGGTACAATATCAGCAATCATCCAATATTTATCTGGAACAATAATATTCTTAATTTAACTCAATTCAATGGTTTCCCGACTATATTAACATATTTATTGATGATTATCTATTCAGTTTTCTCTGGATTGCCCGTAAAAGAGGCCCTTCTCATGATGATGATGATGATCCCACCTTCCAACGCGGCAAATATTTAGATTTTGATAAAAACGATTCAAAGCCTCTCAATTATTTTGTAATACTTCTAAATATAATAATAATACGAAGTAGTGGTTGCGACTTTGGCGGTGATTTGTAAGAAAGGGTTTGCTCTCCACAGTAATGTCGGTGAGCTCCGGTGTGGCGAGCAAGCCCTTTCTTATAATAATAATAAATAATAATAGTCTTCACTAGTTTGAGGGAAAGAGACAAGCGGGAAAAGTCTGAAGAAAATAATTGACTGTCACCACCAGGACTCAAACCAGGGACCCTCGCTTGTAGCTAGCGATGCTCTAACCACTGAGCTATGGTGTAGGCGTCATCCCAGCAGAGACTGTTCAATATTTTCTTCAGACTTCGTAACTCACACTTCCTGTGAATCCACACAGGCGGGTGGGACGCAGCCTTCACTGTACCCACACACTTCACGTACACTCTAGCACGCGGGGAGCCCCAAGTCATAAAATCTTCACTAGTTTGAGGGAAAGAGACAAGGGGGAAAAGTCTGAAGAAAAAATTGACTGTCACCACCAGGACTCGAACCAGGGACCCTCGCTTGTAGCTAGCGATGCTCTAACCACTGAGCTATGGTGTAGTCGTCATCCCAGCAGAGACTGAAATAATAATAATAATTCAAAGGATCAGTCTGGGAAGTGAACTGCCTGAAAAGAGAAAAAACGCCAGACCCTCCAGGACTCGAACCTGGGACCCTGCTTGTCATAAGCAATGCTCTAACCACTGAGGGTCCCAGGTTCGAGTCCTGGTGGGTCTGGCGTTTTTTCTCTTTTCAGGCAGTTCACTTCCCAGGTGGATCCTTTGAATTTGAAGTTCTCCCAATCCTTTCCAAATAATAATAATAATAATAATTCATAGGATCAATTGGGGAAGTGAACTACCTGAAAAGAGAAAAAACCGCCAGACCCACCAGGACTCGAACCCAGGACCTTGCTTGTCATGAGCAATGCTCTAACCACTGAGCTATGGGACCGGGCTGAACCTAGAAGGCGCTGACAAGTCTTTCACTCCAAAGGCAGCTCACACCACGTGCCACACATACTGATGGCAGTTGGGTCTTTCTCCCTCCCCAGGGGACCAACCACGGTCGGTTTCTGGACCCTACCAGAAGTGAAAAGAGAGTGATAAATTTTGAGTGGTTAGAACATTGCTCATGACAAGCAAGGTCCCGGGTTCGAGTCCTGGTGGGTCTGGCGGTTTTTTCTCTTTTCAGGCAGTTCACTTCCCCAATTGATCCTATGAATTTGAAGTTCTCCCAATCCTTTCAAAATAATAATAATAATAACAATAATATATTATACTTTCACACAAAACAAGCTCGGTGCAGCACTAATCACGGGAGGGTACCCGACCCTCCACCATCGCCAACTCACGAACCATGATGATGATGATGATGATGATGATGATGCTTTACGTGCTTTCGTGGTTGCCGAGGGTCTTATAACAGACGGCGGGTGAATTCCTTTGTGGCCCAGTGTCGTTTGGCCGCATAGTGAATTTTTATGCTATGCCTCTCAACAATATCACTATGGATAACATCACATTTTTTAAATAACTATTTGGTAAAGTAACATCATCTGTCATTCAATATCTATCTGGTAAAATAATCAGCATTTGAATATCTATTTGGTACTAATCATTCAACTGTTAAATGTCATATTTTACCTGAATATCTATCACGATTTTTGCACATAATCTCGGTTATCACCGTTTCAAGCCCGTACAAGAGGCCGTTTCCAATGATGATGATGATGATGATAATGATGATGATGATGATGATGATGAAAAAGTGTTTTGTAAGCATAGTAGGACTACTTTTGTTTTGTAAGTCAATCTCATTCTCCACGCTTTGCTGTCACTCGGTTATGTTTTAAAGTAGTTTTTATGACCTGATGTTTGTTTTTTTATATTTGTAGTTCTATTGTTGACATCTTTTGTCTTTTCTTTGGGTTAAAAGGTTAACTTCATCCTCGTTTTCTTATTGCCTTGTATTGGAATTTGCCCATAAAAGTGGCTACGGTGTGATAATGCATGTTTATATTTCGTGTTTTAACACTATTTTCAGAAAATTGCTCTTACAATACCTTGCGTTTTATATTCATAATATTGTTACCCGTAAAAGCGGCTTGGTCACATGAAAAAGTCAGTCAAGAATTTCAGGAGTTATTGTTTGATGGGTCGTTAGATAGAGGCCGGTGTTTGTGAGACTGCAATCATTTCTTCCTTAGTGGTGTAGGTAGATTCTGTTTTGTAAGCATAGTAGGACTACTTTTGTTTTGTAAGTCAATCTCATTCTCCACGCTTTGCTGTCATTTGGTTATGTTTTAAAGTAGTTTTTATGACCTGATGTTTGTTTTTTATATTTGTAGTTCTATTGTTGACATCTTTTGTCTTTTCTTTGGGTTAAAAGGTTAACTTCATCCTCGTTTTCTTATTGCCTTGTATTGGAATTTGCCCATAAAAGTGGCTACGGTGTGATAATGCATTTTTTGAAAATTGCTCTTACAATACCTTGCGTTTTATATTCATAATATTGTTGCCCGTAAAAGCGGCTTGGTCACATGATGATGGCAATGATGATGGAGATGAGACGGAGAACGAGGATGAGGCGGAGGAGATGGAAGGAAAGGAGCGGGATGAGACGGAAGAGAGCGATGTGAGCGAAAAGTCAGCTGTATTTTGTCACTTTTTATCACGTCAAGATTGTCTTAGTGTGTACGATGATTCTCAAATTTCTGTTTTGTTCCATGCAAGTTATGTTAAGCAGTTGAAGGTCCTGGAAGCTGTATGTATTCGTGTGCATAATCCTGTTCTTTGTAAACAAAAGAAGCATGTAGTCGCGTTAATTAAAGTTGTTCTCGTAGCTGGCTATCAGATAAAAAAATTCGTGTTATGTTGCACTGTATCACCTCATGCTGTGTGTTTGCACACAGTTATAATGTAACACTAACTTTATTAGGATGACCCAAAGGCTGACCTGACCGCCTATCGTGGGGTCCGTTGCATTGAAGGATGATGGTACAAGAGAGTACAGATTGGGAAGGGGGGGGGGGGGGGGGCTACGATGAACAGGGTAACGGCATGCCAGCGAGTAGACTGGAATACTGACAAGAATGTTTGCGCAGCTCTTTCTTGAATACATGGACAGAAGATTCCGAAGTCAATGTGGGTGGAAGACAATTCCATAAAAGGGAGGTTTTGAATAAAAAAGTGATTTGGATGTTGGTAAAAGGCTTTTGGGAGGATATATTTTTTGGGGCGTCTCTCACTACGGGAAATATTGAAACTGAACTGGGCCAAGGTGTTCCGGTATTTGAAAATAAACTTGTGCAATGTAATTAGGCTAATGAATTGTCTACGGTACATTAGACTGTGTTTAAAGCCATTTTATGACATAATAATAATAATGAGCCACCCCCTTTACCTTTGGCGACCCTTACCTTTGGTGACTACCAAGACGGTGGTCCCCCTGGTGCTGGGATCCACAGTGCTGACTGTATCTGGACAGAGAGGGAGATCATCGGCAAACCAAAATGAAACCAATATCCTTACCCATAGACCCAGAAGAAGCACAGCTAACTATTCACTTGAAATTTACATGTATGCACGGAATGGACTTGGCCCACACAAAATGGACAGTGAAAACGGGTATGTAGTAGCAGAGAACCCAGCAACGGTTTGTTTGTTTGTTTCTTTATTTAGAGTTGAAGAACCCAGTGACGCGGAGCAGCGGTGAAATGACTTGTGATGCTGGTGGAGATGATGGAGCCATGTTGGAGGGTGATGAGGAGCGCGGTGAGACTGAGCGTCAGACGGATGATGAGGAAGTGACTGATTCCCACCTTTCAACCCGGCAAATATTAAGATTTTGATAAAAAACGATTCAAAGGCTCTCAATTATTTTGTAATACTTCTAATTTGCATTTAGTGCTTTTCGCGTCCCTCAAAATATGCTGAAAAAGTGCTCTTTTTTCAGTGAAAACAGGTAAAAAGTGCGCTTTTCAGTGAAAACAGGTAAAAAGTGCGCTTTTCAGTGAAATATACCCATGATACATGTTCAGATATGAACCCAAGCTGAGAAATGAATACGCACTCTTCCATTTATGGGTCCACGAAAGGCAAAACAGGAAGTAAAGTTCAAAAAACTCTTTACAGCATTGTGAAACAAGCTTCACCTACTTGTTGCCCCCCCAAAAAGCGGCGTGCCACGGCCCATCGCATATCGAGCACTCGGAAACTGTGATCGCATGCATGAGCAAACAGATTTTAGCACTTATTCAGTTAAAAAAGCTCAAAAAGGGCGATATTCACCAAAAAACGCAATAAAGGGCGAAAGAAACGTGCTTTTCCAAAAAGGGCCAAAAGGGCGAAAAAAAGGGCGAGCACCTTTGGGAAAGGGCTAGGGCTGAAAGCCTGAAACGATCGTGGATTTCCACCTATCGATTACTCTTTAGCTTAACCCTTTGAGGTGCCACTGAACGCGTGAAAATACGCAATTGCAGTTCACTCCACCATTTCCACCATAACTTACGTTCTGTTTGCTTGATTTTGACAATCTAGGCCTCTTTGAAGCGCTCTTTCCGCTGCCAAGAGAATTAACGATCGATTAATCGATTATAATCGTTAGCAACTGGTGTCAGAATTGTGTGCAAAAAAGTCAGGCCTTCATAACACCAAAATCTGTATTAGTGACAGGGTAGCTCCGAAACATGGCAATTATAAAGTCAGAATATGCACCATGTAGTAGTAGTAGTATTCTTTTATTTATAGTGGAGAAACCAAAACTGGCAGACGCCTAATAACAATGGACCCACTGTGTAGGGTGGTGGAGGAGGGGGGGGGGGGGGACACATTGCTAATGGTACTATGCCCCCGGCAACTGCATACTCACAGAGGAAACTGATTCAAACATCACAAAAAGAGTGTTTTCAGCACTTTTTGGGCTCAAAATCCCTAACGAGTAATCTTTAACGTAACGATTACTTGATCATCGCTGGCTACAAGAGAGGGTCCCTGGTTCGAGTCCTGGTGGTGGCAGTCATTTTTTTCTTCAGACTTTTCTCGTTTGTCTCTTTCCCTCAAACCAGTTAATATTTTATGACTTGGGGCTCCCCGCGTGCTAGTTTGTACGTGAAGTGTGTGGGTTACAGTGAGAGCTGCGTCCCACCCGCCTGTGTGGATTCACAGGAAGTGTGGGTTACGAAGTCTGAAGAAAATATTGAACGGCCTCTGCTGGGATGACGACTACACCATAGCTCAGTGGTTAGAGCATCGCTGGCTACAAGAGAGGGTCCCTGGTTCGAGTCCTGGTGGTGGCAGTCAACTTTTTCTTCAGACTTTTCTCGTTTGTCTCTTTCCCTCAAACCAGTTACCGTATTTTACCAGTTGTAAGTCGACCCCGGTTATAGGTCGACCCCCGTATCCGGAGGTCTCATTTCTGCGTTTTAAAGTTTTCACCCAACGAAGCACTACCAACCACTCCCTGCTACTAACACCTCAACAAATCATGTAAACATTCCTTATTGGAGGGTATAACGTCCCAATCCTTGAAAAAGGCCAATAAACTGGCAAACATGTTTACACATGGTGCACTCATGCATGCAGGGCAAGTCATTTTTTGTAAGATTCTGATAGTTCCCGGTCATAAGTCGAATCCCGGTTGTAAGTCGACCCCCACCCTTTCTCCTTCTATTTTTAGTCGTAAAAGGTCGACTTACAACCGAAAAAATACGGTAATAGATTACTTGATTGATAAGGAATTATCGATCGCTTACCGGGTAATTTGTATAATCGGTTCAACCCTAATAATGAGCCACCCTCTTTACCTTTGGCGACTACGGAGGCGGTGCTGACTGTATCTGGACAGAGAGGGAGATCATCGACAAACCAAAATGAAACCAATATCTTTACCCATAGACCCAGAAGAAGCACAGCTAACTATTCACTTGAAATTTATGCACGGAATGGACTTGGCCCACACAAAATTAGCCCTTTCCCAAAGATTTTCGCAACTTTTGCTTTTCGCAACCGTGCCACAACATGTGCTAGTTGCTGAAATCGCATCCATATTTTCAGAAAAAGCTCAACAGTTGCTAATGTCGCAACTTAAAATTGGAGTGTTCTTGTGCAGAAATAGCAGAAGTCAAACTCGTACATCCTTTCCTGCTGTGAATCACCATTTTACACAATTCCAGTATCCTGTTGGATGTATCCTTCATCGTTCCAGTGCAAGGCAAAGGGAATGCACATTAGGGAGGTTTCGCTCTACGGAATTACGTATGAAAATAACGTATGAACTGCACGGAATTTTCATACGTAAAAATCAGAGCTGTTGGGTTTCGCTCTACGTGATTTCTCCACTACTACTAAACATGCGTTGTTGCTTTGGATACGCGTTGGCTGCATGCGCCCACCGCATGCACCATGAACCGAAACCGCGTTTTCCATTATATTTTGCACGTGGTGTACGGTGTCGGTGTGTGTACCTTGTGTTTAACGCGGCTTGATTGTTGCCATTGACAAATGCGGAAAATGCGAAAAAAATATTTCTAAAAGTCCTACGGAGGACCCAACGTAGGAAAGAGCTTTCCTACGGAAATCCGTAGAGAGATTTACGTTTGAAAATTGGCCTCGCTCCCCGGCGCGTACGACGTACGGATTTTCATACGTAATTTGGTAGAGCGAAACCTCCCAATTATCGTACCTACCGTTCATCTACTGTTTCTCTGAAATGAGTCTGAAGGTAGGCGAGAAATGAGCGAGTATGCATTTGTCCGACATGCAGTCCGTGACTTGACCTTTTGACCACATGCCATGGGGCCAAGGTTGCGGAAAAGTTGCGAAATAGTTCGCGAAAAAGAAGGAAGTTGCGAAAGTTGCGATTTCTTGATTGATTGATTTTTATTTCACGGATCTTCCAGAGGCAAATAGATGCCTATCGAAGGGAGTCTTCTCCTAAACTACGAAAAGTTGCGAAAAAAGTGGCGAGCATCTTTGGGAAAGGGCTACACAAAATGGACAGTGGAAATGGGTGTGTAGTAGCAGAGAACCCAGCAACGGGTTCGAAGACTACAATGAAGAATTGTCAGACACTGACGTCCGTCTCATGGCTTAGTCTTATGTTGTAAGAGTACCCGAAATAAGATGGATTGTTTGCGATCGTGTGGAACAAATTTGACAAGACCAGTATAGCAGTAAAGCGTGAATGAGTACATCTAGAACCAATGACATTGAGCTAGTAGTAGGCTAACTGCTGCAAAGATTTATCCTTCAGGTCTGTGAAAGACGGAAATTTCCTAATACTGTACTAGAAACCAATTTTGCATTGAACGGCGATGCTCATTACTTTGTCATTTCGTTCAATGTTTCTATGACAACTTGTGTGCTGGACGAGTATTTGTTGTCATTGGTTCAATTTCTTTTTGCTCTTCGTAGCCTATCGGATTATTTTCCTTATATGGTCTATTTATAACCAGTATGTATATGAGAGTGTGGCCTGTCTCCATGGTTACCGGCGTTCGGCACATCCGGTTCATGTAGTATGTTGTAAATTAAGATGCTCTTGTTTGTTGGTAATAGAAAGATTGCCACATCCCTAGTTTTGTTTCACCAATATGCTTTTCTTTTGACAACTATAGCGACTTCTCCATGTTAGACCATAATCTGGAAAGCCCATTCTTACATACCGGTATAATAATAATAATAGACATGGTTAACATTTTACCGTTCACGCTGTTTTCGACGGTCAGCGTGTGGAGGGCGAGTCTACTGTTTTTGATGTGTTTTCGAGACACAGTTAGCAGAACGACTTCTTTTGTTTTGAGTCCTGACTCCTGACGCAACGATAGACGTGTGAGGTAACCCTAATTGGAATCTTACCGTTTCGTTCTCTCGCTAAAAAGAGCCTTCTATCGTCGAAACGGTACCAAACCGACGGTATTTTGGGTTTGGGGTACGAGTGCCGTTGGATCTAGCGCGTGAACTGTAAAATGCCATGTCTACACACACAAAAAACGGTGCAGGCCGACCGTCGAAAATAGCGTGAACGGTAAACTGCTAACAATGTCTAATAATAATAATAATAACTTTATTAGGATGACCCAAAGGCTGACCTGACCGCCTATCGTGGGGTCCGTCGCATTGAAGGATGATGGTACAAGAGAGTACAGATTGGGAAAAAGGGGGGGGGGGGACTACGATGAACAGGGTAACGGCATGCCAGCGAGTAGACTTGAATACTGACAAGAATGTTTGCGCAGCTCTTTCTTGAATACATGGACAGAAGATTCCGAAGTCAATGTGGGTGGGAGACAATTCCATAAAAGGGAGGTTTTGAATAACAAAAGTGATTTGGAAGTTGTCAAGGCTTTGGGGAGGATAATTTTATTGGGGCGTCTCTCACTACGGGAAATATTAAAACTGAACTGAGCCAAGGTGTTCCGGTATTTGAAAATATATTTGTACAATGTAACTAGGCTAATGAGTTGTCCACGGTACTGCAGTGAGAAGTTGGTTCAGAAGGAGCTCATCACATTCCTGGACATAACGGCATCGTTACCAACAACCCAGTTTGCGTTCAGGCGTGGCCACTCTACTGAAGACGCATTAGTCCTTATGTCAAACCGCATCCTAACAACCAAGGACCAGTGCCTATTCACAGGTGTATGCCTGTTAGACATGTCCAAAGCCTTCGATAAAGTCCAACATGTCAAGCTATTGCAGGACCTCCACAGTGTTGGGGTGTCCGGTTCTGCCTTGGACTGGTTCACCAGCTACCTATCCGGTCGCACTCAACGTGTCTGTCTGGGGTCGTGAACTAGCTCTATATCAGCTTGCACGAGTGGTGTCCCCAAGGTTTGCTGCTGGGTCCCATTCTGTTCAGCATTTACACCCGCGAGGTCCTCACTGTAGTTGGCCAGCCCGAGTCAGTTCAATTCGCGGGCGACATTGTGCTCGCGTGCAGCGGGCGAACAGCACAGGAGGTATCCGATGTCTTATCTACTTCGGTTTCAATCCTTGCAGACTGGCTGAAGGATCGAGGCCTGTTGTTGTTGTTGTTGTTGTTGAAGTTTATTTAACGTCGCACCACAAACAGGCGATTGCGCCTCCTTTGATACATGTGGACGACAGAAGGAATGAGAGAGAGAGGGGGGGGGGGACAGAAGTATGGAGAGAGGAAGGGTAGAATAAGCAATCAACCTCCGGGCTACACCAAAGCAAAAACGGAATGGGAACATACTATATACAAAATAGCTTTATACATATATTGCAAAACACGTTTACTATTCTTCAGTCCGCTATACCACAGAAACACACTAGCCGAAAAGCGTGGCCTGATCCTCAATGCTGGCAAGAGCCAAGTAGTGCCAATTCCTGCCGGCCGTCAGCACACAGCTGATCTACGGGTCGTCTGCCATGCCACTTCACTGCCTAGTGTGCTAAGTACTCGTTATCTTGGCGCCACAATCGATTCCGGCATGTCCTGGCACGCCCACATTGCCGAATGTTCTTCACGCTTGTCGCAGAAGATCGGAGCACTCTGGCGAATGCGCCGCTACCTGAATCACCAGTCACGCATGACCTACTTTAGACCGCTGATCATGTCTATTTCTGCTGTATCCCTCAAACGCGTACTCTAGCTCACTGCAAAGAAGGTACCTCGACCGTCTACAGGTCCTGCAGAACAGTGGGGCTCGTGCTGTCTTTGGCCGCCCTCCGTGGTCGTCTGCCCGCGATCTGCTGCAGCGCATGGCAGTGTTCCGTGTGGCAGAAGTCTTCAATCTGAATACCTGGTGTGGCGCTGTCGTTATGCACTGGCAAGTCCAGAGTTGCAAGCCCTGCTAACCCCCGTTGCACCCGACCCTACTCGGCTCCAATCTGCCATGGGCCTGTGCGTGCCAGATTCCCATTCGGTTGCGGGGCGGGGGCGCTTTGCTTGCAAGGGTGCTGTATTATGGAATGCCATTTCGAGCGACATCCGTGCCATCCATCACCCTCCGCAGTTTCGCACGCAGGTAATCCCCTATACCTGTACCCTGTAGATGCTGAAGACAAGCGAAATTTTCTTTTTTTTTTCTGTTCTCTTTCTGTTGTACTAGTACCCGATCTTCCTCTGATCTACCGCTGAGTGACTCTACGCTGAAGATCTAAGTATTTTAATTCTCATTCTCATTTTCATATTTGCTTTCATGTTATTGGGTTCTATGCCCGTTTGAATTTGCGAATCAAAATAAATACAAACAAACAAACAATTCTAGTTTGGCGAATGCGTTCAGATCTTGCTATGGCGTGTCGAAGGCAAATCGAAACTTACACCGTCGCAAGTACGACCTGATGAATCTTGCTTGGAGTTTGTCTAGCTCGCACAAATCAGACGCAGGTAGCCGGTACGCCCACACCACAACACCATACTCTATGACGGGTCGAATGTAGCTCTTGTAAAGGAGCATCATGGCTTTGGGAGTAAGGCGTTGGGTCATGTAACATAGCAACGTAATTCTCTGTTTGAATTTTCCACTCATATCTATGTAATGCTGGTGGAAGTTTAGATTAGCGGTGAAGCGAATTCCCAAATGTTTCAGCACATCGGTATCGTTGAGAGGCGCCCCATCTATTTGGTATGCTGCAGCTGTGCACGGCGATACCGACTTGTAGGAATTGCTGATGACAGAGGTTTTCGATGGCGAACACTCGCCTCCTCTAGCTCGAGCCCAGGTTTGGCACGCTTGTATATCGGCTTGCAGTGCTGGGCTGGTCGGAGTGTGTCCGTATGGGTGGAGTAAAGTCACATCATCCGCAAACAGGAAGGTATGGGAATGCATCATGGTATTAGGTAGCTCATAAAATGTAGATTAAGAACAAGAGAGGTGATAAATGTGAGCCCTGCGGCACACCACAGTTGGTGATCTTCGGTAACAATGTGCATGACCCAACTTGTACCGCTTATGTCGAAGGCTTTGCAGAAGTCGAGGGAGACTAAGGCTGTGTTTACATGAAGCGTTTCAACCCGGGTTGAGTTCGACCCGGGTCAGATTTCAACCCGCCATGTGCACAAAGTGAATGGCGCGTTTACATGACGCATTGCGCTTGACCCGGGTTGAAATTTCGCCCCGGGTTGATTTCAACCCTCCCCCCAAAGGGAGGGTTGAAATCAACCCGGGTCAAGAAAATCGTACAAACGTACTTCTGTGCGTATCTCGCGCCAGGTTTGAACAGCACTGCAGATGCAAATTTCGCGCGAACGGATTCACGTGACCATACAGGACTGTAGAAGTGGACTTTTGGCGGCATATCAGTATTTGACCCGGGTCAACTGTCTTCATGTAAACGCTCACCTCTTTTGTTTGTCGTACAGACTTTCAACCCGGGCTGAACTCGACCCGGGTCAAAATTTCTCATGTAAACACAGCCTAAATCGAAAATTGACTTCTTGTCAATGTAGCATGCCATATGTTGGTTTTAAAACAACCAGCTAGTCTGTGGCGGATTTGTCTTTCACAAAGGCAAATTGTTCACTGCATATTTTCTCTGTTGCGCTGAGGTATGTCTGGAGCTGATTGGCGAAACAGCAGCCAAGGGAGCTAGCTCTCTTGGTTATGCTGGTAGGAGGACTGGGTCCGAAGTAGGGTCCGGCGGATTTTACCGGCAGAAAAATTGGCAGAATTCGGTACTTTTTCTGGTAAGTTTCATGCATGTTTGGTATGTGGATAAAGAAATGGAGCAGAATTCGAGGAATTGCCTGCCATAAGGTTTGTATGGTTCTGCCAATTTCACTGCTTTTCGAGCAGAATCTGCCACCTTTTCGAGCAGAATCCGCCGGTCCCTAGTCCGAGGGGGATCCAGAGGATATCCTGTGGATATGAGATCCCCTCGTTTGAGGGGATTATGAGCCATAATCCCCTCAAACGAGGGCAAATATCCGTGGATCACCTGAAAAGGGTCTATGTACAGTCGACTCCACTTCTCGCAGCGAACTTCGTGATAAAGCGAACCATTGTTCTTGTCCCTGTTTGAACCCATACAAAAGTGACCCTTTGTAACAAACTGTTTTCGTATATAACGAACCTTTTTCTTGTAGGGCGGCATGATAACCGAGTGGGCCACATGCACATGCCAGTGGTGATGTGTTGTTTGTATACTTGTGAGTGCATTCTGTTATAACGAACTTTGGCTATAAAGAACTACAATGATGTTCGCTATAATCAGGAGTCGACTGTATGTTGGACCCTCTTTGGTGAACGTCCTCACCGTGGTAGCTCTCGGCGGATAATGCCGGCAGAAAATTGGCAAAATTTGTATATTTTTCTGGTTTGTGTCATGCATGTTTGGTGTGTGGAAAAAGAAATGGATCAGAATTCGAGGAAGTTCCTGCCATAAGGTTTGTGTGGTTCTGCCAATGTCACTGCTTTTAAGGTACTGTAGCAGCCCACCCATAAATTTCATATGGCATTCAATTGACAGCAACTTTGGTGTCTCTCAATGGATTTGAGTGAAATTTTCACTACACTCCTGCCACTATGCTGGTGCTGGCCCTCTGGACATGATTTACAAGTTCTTGCGCCTCACTGACAGGCTTTCCACTTCCAGGCCAAAAAAACTAAAAATTCCGGCATAGTGCCACGGTGTGCGAGCCACCCAGGAGCAAAAAATGCATTAACAATGTTTTCACATTTTCTTGCCCATTCTGTCCGTGCGCGGGATCCAAACCTAAAAAAAGTCCAGAAGCTGCCATGGGTGGTGGGATAGGGCCCCTCAACGTGACCCTAGAGCCTGACATAACGGCACGAGTGGGCGTTCTCTCACAGACTCCCACAGACCCAAGTCAATTTTTGAATTTTTTTAGGTTTCGGGCGTGCTACGAGGTCGTACCTTTGATACAATATCCAGTGCTGGGACCTCTACGGCTAGCCATTTCCACAGCGCTGCACACCAAATCCAGGATACCCTCAAAAATCGGCAAAGAGTTAAATACTACCACTCACATTCCACTACTGCCTAGTACTGAATCCTACCTGGCTTCTTGACACGACTCAAACTTGCCAAAGTCACTAAATCAACGTCAACTACAATAATCAAGCCATATATCTGCGACGTCACGAGGGTGCTGGCAAACGTCGCGTCGTGCATGCAGCCCAATACATGGCTAAAAACGTTTTTGGACTTAATTATAATTCTGCACACTTTCGCGTGTTTCCATGATACGACAAGTTGCGCACGGTCTGCTCAGATTCAAATACAGTGCAGCCAAAAAATGACAGCATGCAACAAAAAAATCTCTCCTTGCAAGGGCACGTTTTCAGCCATAACTCTTGAACGGCTGGTCAGATCGAGACAACATTTTCAGGGATTTTGCAGCTATTCATGCTCTTTCAACTGATGTAGCACTGGATATGAATTTACCCTGGGCTTCTCCGTGGTCTCGTGGAACTTGGGTGTTGAGACTAATACGGTGATAATTTCTTTTGCATAAGGCCAAAACAAATAATGACCTTGTTTCCGGTCGCCCGACCGGGCCACTTTTTCCCAAATTCTGAAACTTTTTTTGGTCCCAAATGTATACAAACGGTGGCAATGCCATGTGTGCAAGTGCACTCAATGAGTCATAACTCAGTCAAATCTCAACCGAATTCCACAATCGAAACACCTACAAGGTAGCAGAGATTCTCAGCTGTCGGCTCGAAAACCTCCGGGGTCGATACGAGCTAGAATAACGGAGCTGGAAGGACTTGAACTGTTTGCTTGATTTCTCAGGATGTACGAAAACAGGAATACACCACATGCTGTACAAGAACAGTGAGTCAGTCAACTTTGACATTGATCCTTGCCATGATGTACATGTATGTACAATGTACATGTGTAGGTGCTCTTGTCCATCAATACCACAACGATTGAGGAACCAAAAAAAGTATCCAAAAAAAGTTTCATTCCGGCCGACCGAGTCTCCTTTTTGAGGGGTTGCCGACCGGAAACAAGCCTATTTTCTGTTTTGGCCTAATACTATTAATTAATAGTGCACATTCGCATATGGAGGCTTCAAAAGTGCACATCCATTCACTGTCTTCAGGCGATTTTGTTCCACTGAGCCAAATAATTGATTGAGAAGAGAAACTCCATAAAAATGTGAATAAAAAGGTCCCTATTTTTTGTTTCTGGAGGAAGTTTGAAGGGTTGTTCAACTTTCCTTTTTCGCAGATACAAGTTTGATTGTAAAGGTAGAAGAAAAGAAACCAGAGGAGTCCAGACTCCAGTTAAATCGTATATCAGTGTTTTACACCCTAGTTACTTAGTACCCTGCTCAACTGCTGTATCCTGTATGATGTACTACGGGATCAAGCGGAAGATGGACATTCGATTTTCAACTTAAGGTGGCAGACTACCCAAAAATTCGCTGAAAATCGAATTTGTAAATTCATATTGAGTGCTACGTCAGTTGAAAGAGCATGAATAGCTGCAAATTCTCTGAAAATTGTGTCCCGATCTGACCGGCCGTTCAAGAGTTATGGCCGAAAATGTGCCCTTGCAAGGAAAGATTTTTTTGTTGCACGCTGTCATTTGTTGGCAACACTGTAATTGAATGTGAGCAGACCGTGCGCAACTTGTCGTATCATGGAAACACGTGCAAGTGTGCAGAAATTATTTGCTCCAAGTCCAAAAAATCAGGTTTTTGAGCCACGTATTGGGCTTTTGCCAGCACCCTCGTGACGTTGCAGATATGTGGCTTGATTATTGTAGTTAACGTTGATTTAGTGACTTTGGCAAGTTTGAGTCGTGTCAAGAAGTCAGGTAGGATTCAGTACTAGGCAGTAGTGAAACGTGAGTGGCAGTCTTTGCCGGTTTCTGAGGGTATCCTGGATTTGGTGTGCAGCGCTGTGGAAATGGCTTGCTGTGGAGGTCCCAGCACTGGATGTTGTATCAAAGGTACGACCTCGTAGCACGTGCTAAACCTAAAAAAATTCAAAAATTGACTTGGGTCTGTGGGAGTGTGTGAGAGAACGCCCACTCGTTCCGTTGTGACAGATTCCAGGGCTTCGTTGAGGGGCCCTACCCCATCACCCATGGCTGCTTCTGGACTTGTTCTAGGTTTGAGTCCCGCGCACGAACAGAATGAGCACGAAAATGTGAAAAAATTGTAAATGCATTTGTTTGGCTCCTGGGTGGCTCGCACACCGTGGCACTATGCCGGAAATTTGAGTTTTTCCGGCCTGGAAAGCCTGTCAGTGAGGCACAAGAACTTGTAAACATGTCCTGAGGGCCAGCATAGTGGCAGGAGTGTGTGGTCAAAATTTCACCCAAATCCATTGAGAAACACCAAAGTTACGGTCAATTGAATGCCATAAGAAATTTATGGGTAGGCTGCCCCCTTAACACACAGCGTAGAGTAAAACAGCTTGTGTACTCACCACATTTCCCAACATGCGTTCCATCGCTGCACACGGGCTGAAGACTATCAAATTTATCCCCAGGAATACATGTCACGGAACCTGTTTTTGATATGGAAGCAATCCGGTCTCCAGCACTGCGGTGACAAGCTGAGGAACAAGAGACAAAAAGAAGGAATATCTTGTCCATTTTTCATCCTACATATCCAAGCACTCTGTACAGGCGTTGACTAGCTGCCCCCAGAGTAAGATGATCACAAGGCAGCACGCGCCCTACAGTCTCGCTGGCCATATCTTTTGTTTGGCCCCAATTTCTCCTCCACAGCTAGCTGGCAGTGGATATGTACAGTCATGTATCTTCACTTGGCCAACGGTGAAGGCACTAGTCGGAATGCTTCAGCCGTTCAAGGGTCGACCTAGTACCTCCGCCTCCGGAAATTATTTTGGTATCCGTCTCTTTCAGCACGGCCGGCATGGGCGTACCCTCCACCACTGGACCACCAGCCGCTAGATCATGCTGACGCTGCGGACCGACAGTAGCCCTTTCCCAAAGGTGCTCTTTTAATTCCCACTTAGTGCTTTTCGCGTCCCTCAAAATGTGCTGAAAAAGTGCTCTTTTTTCAGTGAAAACTGGCAAAAAGTGCTCTTTCAGTGAAGGATAGCCATGATACATGTTCAGATATGAACCCAAGCTGAGAAATGAATACGCACTCTCCCATTTATGGGTCCACGAAAGGCAAAACAGGAAGTAAAGTTCAAAAACCCCACATTTTACAGCATTCTGTATTATTATTACTATTATTATTGTTTAATAAGGATGGCGTAACTCCTCTGTAGCCTTGTCATGATTTCTAATTTTCTTTCACCGCCCACGGCCGCACAAAGTCCTTGGCTACAAAAAAAATTAAAGTCTCTCCAAATCTCTCAAAACCAAACTTCAAACTCCTTTCCAAATTTTCGCCCAAGAGGGCATCTTCAGGGATATGTGACTCCTGTGAACAAAACAACAATATCACTACAGAAAAAAGGGTAATAACAATAACGTGGCAATATACCAGGAACATCATAACTAGTGCTAAGAATTGAGACTAACATTGAAGATAATGTCACATATTCAGAAACAAAAACAGAACCTACCCACAATATCGCACGCCAGGTAATAGCCTAAAACAAATGTCTCAACTTGCAAGATCTCAAGTCAGGTGATGATGGGTCAGCGTGAAGTGCATGTCTCAACTGGTGTGATCGCCAATTAGATGTGAAGGTGACGAGGCCAGAAAGAGAGAGAAAGAGAGAGAGAGACAGAGGCAGAGAAAGATAGTGTGTGTATGTATGTGTTTGTGTGTGTGAGTGCACGTGTGTGTGTGCGTACGTGTGTGTGTGTGTGAGCGTGCGTGCTTCGCTGCCTTCCCGCAAGTACATGGAAGCAACCGAAATCAGAAGCAGAAAGCCAGCAATCAACTGTGACACTGGATGGAGACTATCGGCATAATTTCATCAAGACAACAGGACCTTCATGGTTACTGTGGGCAAGACCATCTCATCGAATGGATGCAATTACCACCCGTGAGGCTCGCACTCACGCACCCCCCCCCCCCCCCCCCCACACACACGCACGCTCACACACACACACACACACACACACACACACACACACACACACACGTACGCACACACACACGTGCACTCACACACACACAAACACATACATACACACACTATCTTTCTCTGCCTCTGTCTCTCTCTCTTTCTCTCTCTTTCTGGCCTCGTCACCTTCACATCTACTTGAAGTAATTGGCGATCACACCAGTTGAGACATGCACTTCACGCTGACCCATCATCACCTGACTTGAGATCTTGCAAGTTGAGACATTTGTTTTAGGCTATTACCTGGCGTGCGATATTGTGGGTAGGTTCTGTTTTTGTTTCTGAATATGTGACAATATCTTCAATGTTAGTCTCAATTCTTAGCACTAGTTATGATGTTCCTGGTATATTGCCACGGTAGGGCCTGTCCAGACTAGGTAGGAAACCACGTAAACACGCCGTAAACATGCTTGTTGCCAAGGTGAGTGACGAAAAATGGCCGATAACGGGGAACGTGGGATTCACGCGGAACGTGAGTCGAGGACCCCTGTACAAAGCACGTTTCTCATCTACGTGCCGTTTTCGCGGTGTTTGTTGTGTGAGAGTCGATCGGTGGAGTTTTCGGATCGCATTTTTTCTTGCTGTTTCCAGCTGCTGCAGCTTGTTTTTGCTTTGCCGTTTTCATAATGCCACACGTCCGTTTCAGCTACGACTCTGAGGCGACATTGATACAGTCGTGGCTGGACATGCAGAGAAATCCCGGGGTCTGGTGAAGAGGAAGGTGTAGTAGAGAGAGAGAGAGAGATGATTCACTGACGAGCGAGAATTTGAAACTGTTTGGATCGGAAGTAGAACCCTGTTCAGTTGTGATGAAAGAAATTGACGACCTGAAGGCCAAAGCCAGGGACTTTTACTGGAAATACACGGCGGCCACAACCATTAGTTCATCAAGCGATGCTATAGCGGGCCTCGACCGTGATGCTGCGCTGCCGCGAGAGTGTGGCCAAATTTCCGTACCTGGAACAGAGTTCAGGGTGATGTTCCTTGCGCTCGGCGTCAGTACTGCCATCGCTGGGCCGCCACTCGTTTTTGTAGCTAGCTGGGTAGGTCTAGACCAAGCCAGGGAGTGCTTGCCTGGTGTACACGCTACAACTATAAGTCACTTGTGTGTCTGCCAGTAGTGCATCCACGGACAAAAATGAACAGGTACACGGAGTGGTACAGGTGACAGAGCGAAGTGTGGACAGCGCACCGCGTGTACGTCACGTACTCTGAAACGGCACGCCGTTTTTATTACCTAGTGTGGACAGGCCCTTATTGTTATTACCCTTTTTTCTGTAGTTATATTGTTGTTTTGTTCACAGGAGTCACATATCCCTGAAGATGCCCTCTTGGGCGAAAATTTGGAAAGGAGTTTGAAGTTTGGTTTTGAGAGATTTGGAGAGACTTTAATTTTTTTTTTGTAGCCAAGGACTTTGTGCGGCCGTGGGCGGTGAAAGAAAATTAGAAATCATGACAAGGCTACAGAGGAGTTACGCCATCCTTATTAAACGATATGGCGATGGTCCGTCGCTTGTAACTCCATGGAGGTTGGTGAAGGCGCGGGTGACTCTTGTGAAGACTCGTGTGTCAGTGCGGTTCCTCTCTAATAGTCGTCGTCTCGGTGTTTTGCCACCGTTTGTGAGAAATTGTTCCAAAGCTAATTCGCTGTTCAAGAACGCCGCTGGAATTGCAACACTTGAGCAGGGATTTCATCGATGTGTCCTGTCTCGATTGATCCGCCACAAGTACAAGATCATTGACTCACTATACAGGGACATAAAGGTCTTGGAGGAGGAGGTTGAGACCTCCTTCAGCCCGCCGGAGAGCCACTGGATAAAGGGCCACGCGAGAGTGATTGCAGACCGGGTTGGTAAAGATGATAGCGAGCGCCTCGACTTTAAGCTTCGCAAACTGACAAGCGGTGGAGAATCTGTCCGGAAGGGTGCTGCAGCCCGAGACAGCAAGTGGTTCCCTCGGGAAAAGAGAGTTGTCGTGGACCCTTCCCTTGCGGAGAGCGTGTCGGACGTGGCCGTCAGCACCTTGGCTCACGGACCTAATTTCGTTTTCAAGCCCACCATAACAGATTCAACGGTCAGGGATGTTGGTGTGGCCATTGAGCGCATGGCGTTCGGGAGGCGCTGGATGGAAAGCATCCGGACATCCCGTTTGGAGGCACAGAGATCTGAAGAGCTGCTGGCTGACATACGCAGGGATTATCCGACAGACCAACAAGCTGATTTACCCGAGTCTGCTTCGCAGGTGGAAGTCCCAACACCGAATACCTGCCTAGATAACGACCTGAAGCTAAGGAGGCTTTGCCAACCGTCGAAACAGCCGCCATCCTTGAGCCATGAAGAGGAAGCAAACATACGAAGGTTGAAGGAAGATGTAGTAAACATATTTCAGAAGGAGCAAGACAGACGGAGTCGGAAAAGTACTAACCTGAAGCTCACCAGAGAGCAGAGCCAGCATCTTCAAGACCTCAAAGACAACGACGACATTATCATCAAGCCTTCTGACAAGTCCAAGGGTTTCGTCCTTATGTCCAAGGCGAATTACGTCGCCAAGTGCAGCAGCCTGCTCGAAGACTGCAATAGCTACGAGAAGCTAGAGATGACACCTGAGAAACTGGACGACACAACGAAAGCATTCCTCAAGGAACACATCAATGGCAAGATTCCGAAGAAGCTTGAGGATGCCGTGAACCCGAGTTATAGTCGAATGCCACAATTTTATGGTCTTCCAAAAGACCATAAGGAAGGTTTGCCAGTCCGACCAGTTGTAAGCTGTTGTGATGGACCCACAAGCAACCTATCTGTGCTGATGGAACGAATCCTTAACCAGTTGTTGCGTTTTGTACCCTCGCACCTGGCCTCTACTTTGGCATGCATTCAAGAGCTCACGAAACACAAGAAATTGAATGAAGACTACCTGTTGGTGTCCCTCGACGTGGTCGGCCTCTACAGCAACATCCCGATCGCTGACGCCATTGAAGCTGCGACCACATTACTGGAGGAGCACCGCGAGGATGTCGATATGTTGGGTCTGAGTGTGAAGGATGTCCAAGATACCCTCCAATTCATCCTGACGAATAACATATTCGAGTTCGACAATCAGCAGTACCGACAGCTGAAGGGAATCGCCATGGGCAACCATCTGGCGCCGCCATTGGCCATTATTTTCATGTCAGCGCTTGAGAATGCAGCCGTGTCTTCTGCTGAATTTCAGCCCTGCATTTTCAAGCGCTACATCGATGATATAATCATGCTGTGGCGACATGGACGAGCGGCTCTGAGCAGGTTTGTTGCCCATCTCAACAACCAACACCCCTTCATAACATTCACCATCACACACTCCGACAACGACACCAGGAGCATCGACTTCCTGGATTTGACGTTGAGTGTCAGTCCCGAGTGTACGTTGGAGTGGGAGCTGTTTGTCAAGCCTTCACACAGCGGAGTTCACCTGTCATTCCTGTCGTCTGTCCCTTTTGTCAACAAAGCGTGCAGTCGCAGTTAATC